CATTTTCATTTTTAGCTCCCTCAGAATGCAATCAGCACAAGATTCTGAATGACTCTGATCGACATAGTGATTTTGGTCGCGGTGACAGAAAATGTGACAACCATTTGACAGAAGACTGGTACAGATTCTCAGCGGGGGCTGGAACGAGTATACCTACTCACTGTCTACCGCACCATAGATGTGGAACGGACTTGCCGGGGTGGATGGACGGAGCACACCCAACAGTTGATGAAGGAGTCGTTTCCAGAAAAGTTTGTTTTCATGGCTTTTATAACTGTTGTTACCGCCAAATTATGATCAACGTACGGAATTGCAACTCTTTCTTTGTATACAGATTGAAACCGGTCCAATTTTGTGCCAGCCGGTACTGTGGAAAAAGTTAGAGGCTGAAACACAAATCTTGTTTTTAAGAATACTGTATATCATTACACCTTGATCTTTAGTCGTTTGTTTAACTTGCTGTTGAACCAATTCGGATATCACGAACACGTCAAGAATGAAACTTAACTTTAAAAGAGTTCGTCCAATTTAAAGAATTTTCATTTAGAATATTAAGGAGGCCTGATCAAGACTGCAGAATTATACGAGTAAAATTTATGAGAAATGTTATTCTCTCAGCAAATGTTATATATACTTTAGTTTCTTCAGTTAGCGACTACTCCAATTAGTAAATGACGAAAGACGACGTAATTTTGATTTTTACATCAGGTGGTTTTTCTTAAAGGTATAAGTTTTGTAATGCGTGTAATTAAGTGCACCTTTCTTAACTTTGCAGTGTCTTTGACTTTCCCTGTCGCTAGAGATCTGACAGTTGTTCTTAATGAATGCCCTTTTAAACAAGGTTGGATTCATTTGTGATACATTCATTCAAATTTGACGAATAATTGCAGAGAAAGTATCACAGCTGCTTCGAGGCCTCGAGCTATTTGTCACATAAATTCCTGTTTTAGTCAACGGAAATGGTCATACGAAGTGTGAAATCGGCTTACAGATGGATTGGAGTCTCTTATAACGGGTGGGGAAGATAAATTGTTTATAAACATTTTATAGAACTGTTTCATTCTGGTTATGGAAAGCCGTGCCATCTTACATAACATATCGTATTTCCCCGTTGCAGTCAAACATTTCAAGGAATGAAGTTTTTTATAGTTGTTTTTGTACAGTGAGCTAGATGACATTTAATTTGTGGATATAAAATCCTAACTTATTGTTGACTATCTTAAACGGCCGTCTTAGACTTTTAACTGCTCCTGGTTAAAATTTCAAGGCCCTAACTCATTCCTGAAAACAAAAAAAAAAGCTGGATAGAACGATTTACACTTGATAATTTGAATCAGAGCTGTATTTTCTCTCTTCTCTTCCCATTTCTTTATTCTAAGCCCAGAACGTTCAATGGAATGAACCTCACGCAAACTGCATTCTCGTGCGTGAAAAGTAGAAATAAGTGCGTGCGAGTGCGTGATAGATGGCGATCGATGCCTCACGGTTTCGACTTGACTAAAGATAAATAAAACTATAGGTAGGGCAACAGGAAACTCCTCTGACGGTATTTGTTTTTTTATATTATAAACGTTTTCTATTTGGCATATTTAGAGGACTTGATCAAAGCTTTGCATAATAAAAGGAGTAATTAATCTTCACGAGAAATATTATTCTTTCAACATGTATTGTACTCACTTTAATTAGTTACTTCTGTCAATTTTAAGTTGACCCAAAGGGATAGTTCAGTTAGGGTAGAATTCTGTAAAGTGTGTGAAATAAATTTCATCTTTCTTCACTCGGCACCCTCTTTGACTTGTCCTTTCTATAGCGAATGCTTATCAAAAAAATGCCTAAGAATAATTTGAAGATGTCTGTAACCCTTCTAAGTCAATTTGACCCTAATTTACAGAGAATGTATTACACCTGCTTTGAGGACACGTGCCATTTCTATTTCAGTTTCTCGTTAAATGCAAAAAGTTTCCAAGATCAACAATCAACAAGTTTTTGGTACAGCTATGGGTTCGCCCGTCTCTGCTGTCATTGCTAACATGGTAATGGAAGACGTGGAACAAAGGGCCTTAGCCACTTCACCGGTTAAACCCTTTTTCTGGAAACGATATGTCGATGATGTTATTTCTGCAGTATCCGGAAATGAAGCGGAGCGCCCCCTGTCGCATTTGAATTCAGTAAAGCTGTTGATCAAATTCACCAATGAATAAAGGGGTAAGTTTCTAAAGAAACTGTGGTGCTGCGCCGGTGGGAGAGTATAGCAGGTAATTTAGTGTTAACAACTGGGTTGAAAACGTAAATTAGCCACCGTAAAGGGTAAAAAAGCTGACGTTTCGAGCGTTAGCCCTTCGTCAGAGCGATTAGAGGAATTGTGGGTTGTGGTTGGATTTATATGTAGAAAGTGGAGCTACGCCATTGGTGGGAATATGGTGACGAGAAAACAGGAATAAATTAGTTGAATGAAAAGCGCTCGTTGATTCCGTGGGGATTAAGGGTGCCGATTTGGAAT